ATTATTTTCGCCCCCATTCCCCTCCATCTAACAGTAACGTGACTTTCTGCCTCCTCCTTTAACACTAGACGCATTACCTTGCCGCTTATACCTTAGGTATTATAGTTAACGCCGATTACTTGACATTTTATATTATTTAACACCATACTGTTTATCCTATACTTGATTGTCCCCCTTTTTGGTAATTACGCCATTTTTGTTTCCCCTTAACCCTTCTCATTTGTCTAAATTTCCTATATTGACCCCGCGAAAAGTGACATTATCTCGCTGCTTCCAGACTTGGAAACTTTGTGTGTAAGAGTACTATTATGTTTTTCCTAATATCCAATTACGGAACTGTTCTCATCCATTTGATACTGTTATCAACCTACGCTAAGGGAGATCGCGTTCACACAAAGTCAAAAGTTAACAACCAGACCGACCTTAAGCATCTAGTTCATTATAGAATCCAAATATTCTACAAGTATATTAAGGGAGATAGGCAGAGCCTTTTTATACCCTATTTACAGATAGATTCTGTCAATTCATGCATATGTTTTAAAGTCATATAGGTACATTATATAAATAGTTGTTGTCTACCAAATGTATGACCGGCGAATAAAGTATGATCGAGTCTTCTTTTAAATGCGTCAACACTTCAAGCGAGGATAACTGCAAAAGAGAGTTTGTTGCAGTCAACAATGAGCCGATGGGAGAAGAACTTGGCCCGCACTTCTAGTTCGACACGGTTTTTCTTCTGTTTGTATGGATGACCTCGGAGATTTGTACTTTCTGATAATTCGAAGAAATAAGTTATCTGAAGAGCACAATCTACTCCCCTGACGAGTTTGAATAACATGATCATCTCCCCTCTGCATTGCTTATAATGGAAAAAAATAACGAGTATTTCTAGTTGACCTTCATATTGTAGACCCCCTAAACCGATGACAAAATTGGTCACCCTTCGTTGAATTTTCCCAAGCACTGCGTAACCTTGCTTCATCCAGGAGCACCACGCCTGGACACAGTATCCTGACATCAGCAGAATAAATGTTCCAAACACCCGCCCGAAAAGTTCTGCATCAAAATAGATAAAGCGTCTTCTGATCGTTCCTGAGATGCCTATAGCCTTCTTAGCCTTCTTTGAACGTTTGAGAGTGGGCATCATACATTCACCTAGATCCCTTAGTTTATTCCCTTGCCCGAGTTGCTTACCTCCGATGAATTAGTCATACTCAAATGGTATCTTTGTTCTGCAAGTCAACCGTAGACGGATGACTTGGCGTCTTTTGCAATTTAGGTACATTAGACACTCATCGTACCAATTTTGCGAGCGATCTAAGTTATTTTGTAAACTCTGTCCATCCTCCGAGCTTTCGATTGAATTCAATATCTTCAGATCGTCAGTGAATATTAATTTATCACAAGTTATGCAATCAAGGCAATCGTTCACATACATATATCAGAAACAGAACGGGACCCAAAGCGCTTCCCTGTGGAACCATAATTGAAACGGTCTTCCATTGTGATTTGGCGTCCCAATACAAACACACTGACGCCCATCTGCTAAAAAGTCAGCTTACCATTTGAGTAGATTTCCAGTAACGCTAATTTGATGCGGCTTTCGTATCAGTCGTCTGTGTGTTACCTTGTTGAATACCTTGTTGAGGTCAATGTAGATCGCATTGACCGACGAACCCATTTCCAATGAATTTTCTCATCTTTCTATGGATCTTAGCAGGTTATTGAGACGAGATCGAGCGTTTCTGAATATATGTTGCGCTGCACTAAGCAAGTTTTTCTCATCAATATACTTCAGTAGTTCCGATTTGATGACTTGCTCCATTTGTTTTCTACAAATGCTTGTAGGAATTATGGGTCTAAAGCTATTAGGCGACGTTCTCTCTCCTTCTCTATAAATAGGGGTTGTGTATGCTAGCCTCCAGTCGTTAGGCAGAGCCCTCTCCTCCATCGGACTTTCAAATATCTTGGAAAGTTGGGAGGCCAGTGATTCTGTGGGGCTCATTAAGAAGTTTCGCTTATATGCCATCCGGACCAGGCGATTTAGTGGGCTGTAGCGGTCTGAGGGTTTTTCTTCCTGTGTCTGTTGTGAATGATACCGTGCTAATTGAATCTGCCGCTAGGACAACATATCGCTGAACATCCTCGTTAAAAGACAGCTCCTCAGTATACACAGCCAGAAAGGAGTTAGACAAAAGGTTCGTCTTGTCTGAGTTATCGGTAAAATATCGGTAAACTTTTGCCGTATTCACGTAAGAAAAAAACCCTTTTCGGATTGTTAGCTATTACCTCGACTAGTTATGTCTCAAAGACTGATCCTTCTTTCTGTAGGAGTTTTCGATATAGATTTCGCTGTTTCTTAAATTCGAAGAAGTGTCCGGGTTGTTGATATCTGGCATATGTTTTGCACAGTCTTATTTTCTTCTTGAGGTTCCTTTTTATGATCGGTATCACGCATTTCGGCCGGAAGACGCGCGAGCATTTCTTAAGTGGGCAACTATTCTCGACTAATTTCTGCGTTCAGTTCCCAAGAAAGCGGCAGGCGCCGTTGGGGTCGGGTACGTATGCAGGGCTCTAGTCGGTCTCGCTGATTAGTTCTTTCATTTTCGTGTAATCCCCTTTCCATACACTTCTCTCGCTTATTGCTCGAGCGATGGGTACCGAGAAATAGCTGTACTCCCAAACAAGAACGCAATGATCACTTCGGTCAAAAGGAATCTGATTACTCAATCCAAGGATACAGTTTTCATCTCTACTAATGACGAGATCTAAACAGCTAGACTGTTGGCCACTTCAGAATCACGTGTCCATTGTGATGTGTTGGGTAAGAGGTTCCTCTCTTACCAAATGAAATAGTTTCTGTTCGACTGAGTTTTCCTATCTCCAGCTATGCATAAATTCCCTATCAATGTCTGGAATGTTAAGATCTCTAAGTATTAGGACATGTTTGCTACAGCAGGTTTGCTTTACCTCAGTGATGAGTGCATAGTCCGCATCCGCCGTGGTCCTGAGGGTCTGTATACTAGAGCAACATGGAGGTCATTGAGGATGGAGTGGGATGCAACGGTCCCAGTAAAGCAATTTCTTCCACTCCCCTTTAAATATCTCTATGCATATTGAAGAATCTATGAGCAGTCCATCACGATTAGAAGCTTATGCAGGGTGCATGCCTGAATATGCCTACCAATGGCGCCTTCAGCAACAAAGATAACACATCGATCCGAACAAAATAGGTGTGTATTCAAGGAATTATTTATCACGGGCTAATAGACACGTTGAAACTGTGAGAATACATCATACTTATTTGCGTATACGACCAGCGCTTGCCCATTTATAAAAAAGCATACATGGCACAAGTCCAATGATGCATGAAACCAATAATCTTCAGACGTTCGATGGAAGTCAAAAATCCAAGTAAAAAGCTAATTTCACCACTCTTGGTTAAAAACACCCCTTCTGATTGCCTAAGCATATAAATCGTATAGGTCGGATAATCTCAAACAGTCACCAACCTTAAGAGTTTTGAAACTGAAAATGGAAGTACAGTTCTTTTTTGCCACAAATTTTATGTTTTCTATGCAGGTTTCATTCTGTTCGACGACTGCTACGTTACACTAGAACTTATTACCCAGCTACTGACCGATGTTAACGTATCATCGACGTCAAATAACTCTGGCTGCACACAACATCCATATGCTGCGTGGATAAATTTGCCATCGCGTAAATGAAGAGTGATGATGAATCTTACAACTACACAGTTCCCACGAGGAATAATTAGCGAGCACAGCAGGACAGAAAGGGTCATGGCAGTAGGAAGATAACTGAGATTCTGTTAACTGACTGTCTTTCTTCTGTCCGTTTATAAAAATACTATGCGTGAAAAATCGAATTTAAAATAGGCAAAGATCAGCGCCGAGGTTAGTATAAGGGTGAACAACATGTGTAAACATTACCTCCCTATAGCCAGTAAACTATCACATATTACGTTGGAAATGTAATGTAATGGATACAACGAACACGGCTGTTTATTAGTCAGCACCCTTTGCGCACCATTCAACGTATGTGCTTTACCGATGCGGCGTTCACCAGCTTCTACTAAACCCTGTTTCCTGTTGCCTACGGACATAGGAAGCCAGCAAAAGTGTAGCAAAACAGAGGTAGTTGGACTGAATGAAAGGTTAGCTCACGAAGACCTCAGAAATCAGCTAATTGACTAATATTTTTTGCTACCCACACAGTTAACTCGTCGATATCACTGCTTAGAGAGGCGTTCCTCAAATACTTTCATCAAATGTGTATTCACGAGGACCAGGATCCTGAATGGTTGATGAGGGAGTCACCGTCCAGCATTAAGTTCAAAGGAAAAAACGGCCTGCGGGAAAATTATTCGAGATAACAATGGGAACGTTTCATATTTTTCCGTGACAAATATACGTTATCAAGTTGGAGATCTCAAACTTCGCCAGATTATCTGATAACTCATTTCATCGGCGTTTCCCCAATTTGCGTGTTCAAAGTTTGAGTGAATGAGAAATAAAAGCAAAGGCAGGCGTATGATGAGACACGGCAATATATGAGACTATAATATGCAGTTTCTTTCGCAAATCTCTGCACTGCACACCTAGACGGTATCGTCTTACTATTCGGGATTGAACAACATATAGTGTTCAGTGCGTCTGCATATCTACCGAGATTTTTTTGAACAACTTCTTTGGAGTAATTCAAAGAAAATTATAGCTGTAATGGTCCCGTAATAGAGAATCATTTACCCTTCCTAAGGCACATACGAATACCACTTTCCATTGATTACGAATTCTTTCGTGGGACCTGGAAAAATAACTCACAAAAAAATCAGCGAAGGTAAATTCCGGGGGTCATTTTAGTTTAAAAGTTGATCCAGGACAAGTCTTTCGAGAATCTGAGTGTGATTTACAAACAGTGTTTTAATTACTCGAATATAAAAACTTTCAGAGGCCCCGGCTTATTCAAATTTGATTAAGATGCCGCCAAAGAAATCTGATGGACAGAATATACGCGTAGCCGTTCGTTCCAGGTTTAATTTTCATATATTTTATAAGTCATCAGGCCACTTAATGCAAATGAGATTGCGAACGGAGATCTCAACATTGTCGAGTCTTGCAGAGACCATAAAATTACGTTGAGGGACAAATCAACTTCCACGAGGTCGTATGTTTTTGACAGGGTCTTTGGCCCACGATCAAAGCAGGCGGAGGTTTATAATGAAATGGTTGCACCTGTTGTGCTTGAGGTTATTGAGGGATACAATTGCACCATTTTTGCGTGAGGCGCTACCATTACTAAATGTTTGCTCTAGGTACGGACAGACTGGCACCGGGAAAACGTACACGATGACAGGCGAACGGTCAGACGCCCTTAGGTACACCTGGGAAAATGATCCGACGGCGGGGATTGTGCCCAGAGCATTAAATCAAATTTTTAGTGTCTTGGAGTCTATGGTTAGTAAACTTAATTGCTTGATTCCAGTGACTAGGGCTATGACTTCTCCATTCGTGTTTCATTTTTGGAGCTTTATAACGAGGA